TTGAAGACAGGAAGTGAGACTTACATTTCTTTATTATTCACTCCCCATAACTCTGGTGCCTATATATCCTGTCTCAATTAAGATTCTACTGTTTGCTTGTAGCAGGGACCCGTTAGAGCTTATCTGAGGAAAAGCGGGAGAGAGATTATAAATTATTAAAAAGATAGAGGGATGTATTTGTCAAGCTAGGTTTGGTCATGCTCTGGTAACAATTAAACCTTAAAATCTCAGCGGCTTAACACAGCAAAGGCTTATTTCCCACTCCACAAAGTCCAGCGAAATTTGGATGACTCTCCTAGGCAGTTCTGGGGACTCAGAGATCCAAGTGCTGCTGTCTTGTAACTCCATCATCTGAGCACCAGGCACCAAGGTCACTCCCAAGGGAAGAGAGGGGAACAAAGGATGGCACCCATTGGGTGCTTTAAAAGGTCAGGCCTGGAGGTATCTCACTTCCCCACCCCCACCATGGAAGGAAGGCAGGGAAACGCAGTCTGTCTGTGGGTCCAGGAAGATGACAATGAAACCCAGTCTGATGAAAACAAAGCTTGCCTCATGAGACAGAAGGGTATCTCACAGACAGACCAGGAGGGCAGTGGAAGCAGCCTGACTCAGGGAGCTGGAGCCAGGAACTGGAAAGCCACTGGGAACACACACAGCTCCTCTCTCAGCCTTTCTGACTCTCTAGCAGACATCCAGTCCCTCATCTCTGCTTCTCTCTCCTTCATTTTCTTCTCTCTGCAGACTGACATTTTTCACTGTGCATGGCCATCCACAGACCTCTACTTTACATAAGTAAGGGCATTGTGGGTCAACTTTAGACTGCAAGGAGAAAAAAATCTAAGTGGTTCAGCTCCTACCATGCATCTACCCAATTCTAATCAACTCCAGCTAGGAGTATTGGGTGGGGTAATCGCCCAACCATTTGCAGGGCCCAGTGCAAAATGAAAATGCAGGGTCCCTTGTTCATGAAGCAGGAAAAAGGCTTTTTCCTTTCTTCCGCAACCTCTCTTGACCTGCCATGGTGGGGCTTTTTATTTGCTACTTAATGTTGTACTCCTTGAGGCATGGGCTGCTCACCACATGAGTACAGACCCTCACAGGCACAGGGGCTCCCTGGGACAAAAGCATGCAGGGCACACACCCAACGCTAGCCTCCCCTGCACTCAAGCCTGGGCCCCCACTGGGGTGGCAGGTGACAGCAGTCACTGATGGGGCAGGGAGTGGGGAGGTCACGTCAAGGGGCACAGGAGCAGGCAGGGGAAAATCTGTCCTGGGGAGGCAGGGAGGAGATAGGAGGCAAGGCCACATACAAACCAAGACTCAAAGCCCCTGGGCCACGCTCCACTGTCCCATCAGACTTCACTTACAAAGCACAAATTCAAAGAAAAAATGGTTAAGAATGTCCAAACGGCAACTGCAGAGCATTTAAACCCAAGCAGGGAGCTCCCTTCTTAGCGTGGAGTCCTGTATAGCTGCACTGCTGGCAGGCCCAGGAAACAGCCCTGCTTACAGTGTTAACGTGAATGTGGCTGCCCACACGTGTTCCTAGAGGGTCTGTTATTCCAGAAGAGGAGAAGGGTCAGGAGCTAAAAAAAATTCTGAAAGATGGTTTGCTAAATAGCTAGTAGGCACACATTTGACATTTGACATTATTATAATGACTTATATTTGGGGCTTCTTCTGGGTGTAAGGGGCCGTGAGCAGCTCAATCGGCGTCCTGGGATATTGGGACAGTCATCATCACTGTAGCACTCTGCTCCTGAGCTCTTTGGAACCGTTTGTCATCCTTTCTCTTCTGAAATTCTCTAGCTTCAAGGCATGAGACCTGCTGGCTTCCCTCCTCCATCTTCAGATCACTCTCTCTTTCCTGGTGCTTCTTCTATCACCTGCCTCCCTCCAGATGGGGTGTGTCCCCCTCTCTACATCCCCAAATTTGGCTCAGACATTTCACTCTTACCTGAAGGCTAGTAGCTCCCAATATTTCTAGGGTCAGGAACCCCTTTAAGGAGAGTGACTGACTCTTTTCCCAGAAAATTTTCACATCAGGTCGAGGGGACCCAGGACCACCTGCATCCCATACACCTGTGGTGCTTGGTAAAAATGCCAGTTCCTGGGCCTTACTCTAAATCCAAACCAAATCAGAATCTCCAGATGGGGCCTAAGTATCTGCATTTTTACAAGCATTCTAGTTGATTTTGTGGCCTCAAATGTGTAAAAACTGTAGCCATAGGGTATCAAGGATCTCAGGTCAGTGTCAAGAAACCCTAATCTAAACACTTCATCATAGTGATACCCTTGGCCATAACTAATGTGTCCTAAGTATACAGCTCCAGCCAGGACCTCTCTCCAATACTCCACTGCATGGAAATGGTTATTGGACTGTCCTCTTTTTTTTTAATTAATTTTTATTGGAGTAGAGTTGATTTACAATGTTGTGTTAGTTTCTGCTGTACAGCAAAGTAAATCAGTTATGCATATACATATATCCACTCGTTTTTAGATTCTATTCCCATATAGATCATTACAGAGTATTGAGTAGAGTTCCCTGTGCTCTACAGCAGTTTCTTATTAGTTATCTATTTTATATATAGTAGTGTGTATATTGTCAGTCCCAATCTCCCAATTTATCCCTCCCTGAGAACTCTTGAAACCTACTATATACAGTTGATTCTTGCTTGTTTACCTTTTTCTACCAATCTGCACATCTGAATTTGGCTCCATCTGCAGTCGGGACTGACGATTGATTGATTTCTTCTGACAGCTCTCAAAGGGCCATATCACCTCCTTACCAGGGCATGTGTGTGCCATCTGGCGGTAAACTGACCACACTGACTACAGGCTACACTGACCCTAGAAAATGCTGTGCCGTTTTCAGCAAATCATTTTTGCCCAACATAGGACTGTATGTATTGAAAGCATACCTTCAAACACTTATTCTTCTAAAAGTTTTCATGTCTGTCAAATAGTCTCATCAGTATCCAGGCTCAGTCGTCTGAGAGGCCTCCTCAGCTGTCTCCTACCCAATCAGACATGGACATGTCCTGCCCATTCGTCTGCTGAAATACCTCTCGAATGTCTAGCTCCCTCTAGAACTCTACAGTCACCAACCGCATTTATCTACAACCTTGTCCCAAACTTTAACTACAAAGATCCTCTGGATATTTTCTCCCTGCCCCACCCCCTTCCTTCCCTGTCTCTTTCTCTCTCTCATCTCATTCCCTAGTTCTATTCCACATCCATCTACGGAGAGGATATCAAACACACGCTGATATCAGTGTCATCCCCCGCTGCTTAAGAATCTACTGTAGCTCCGCGCTTCCTTGCACATACCGTCTACACCCCTCCGCTTGGTCTTCAAGTGCTGCTGCCCCACATCCCTCTGCCAAGTATACACTTCAGCCTCATCTCTACACACTCCAGCTGAGCCATTCTTCCACCTTTCTCTCACCCTGAATCACGCAAGCTCCCACCCCTGTACCTTTTCTCCAGCTGGTCTCCTGCATGGGATGCCCAGCCCTCACCCCTGCAGCCATCTCAGGCCACTGTGTCTTCAGAGCCACAGCTCAAGGCTCACTCTCTCTGAGGGCCTTCTCTGACTGCCATGTGCCCAGACTTCCCCGGTACCTCTGTAGGGGTTTGCTTCTCTGTAGCTCCCTCATCTCATTGTGGTTTCAAAGTATTCACCTTCCTCAGATAGGTTGTAAACACAGCAGACACAAGGATCAAGATTTCTACTTACGGCAAGATTTTGGTGCACGCAGAAGTGCTTAGTAAATGGTGGTTTTCTTTTATATATATATATATACATAGATATATATATGTGTATATATATATATATTCTTATTGGAGTATAACTGCTATTCAATGTTGTGTGTGTTAGTTTCTGCTGTACAACAAAGTGAATCAGCTATATGTATACATATACCCCCATATCTCCTCCCTCTTGTGTCTCCCTCCCCCCCTCCCTACCCCACCCCTCTAGGTGGTCACAAAGCACCGAGCTGATCTCCCTGTGCTATGAAGCAGCTTTCTACTAGCCATCCATTTTACATTTGGTAGTATATATATGTCAACGCTACTCTCTCACTTCGTCCCAGCTTACCCTTCCCCCATTGTGTCCTCAAGTCCATTCTCTACATCTGCATTTTTATTCCTGCCCTGCCACTAGGTTCATCAGTATAAATGGTGGTTTTCTGAAGAGTCACAGGCTTGGATCTTTAGAAAGACCTACCCACTCCAATATTGGTGATTGTTATATGTGGTCCGGAGAAACAAAAGACCCTCAACTGTTCATGTTGCGACCTCACTGGCTTGTCCGAGTGCTTAAATGGAATAATTGACACTAAGACTATTTGTGGAAGCAAAATTATTGTGTTAGATTATGTGTAAATTATTCACGTGAACCCCTTAGATCCTTGGGTAATTACACACTAAGAAAGGTATCTGTTACCTAATCTGGGCCCTCGAGTTTTCTCAGGCTATTTTATGCAACAAAATAGAGACCAAGCAAACCAGCTTCTGCTCTGAATTCCCCTTGGTGGCCTAGAAGAGACAGGCTGGCTGGATGAGCGTGTTTGGGGCTGCTCCTGGGACACCTGGATCTCAGCCATGCAAAAGCAGCGCTTCCTGACACCTGCCTGTGCCAGGGCTTCACTAGTGCCCACCCACATTGTCACCAAACCTCATTTAATTACATTGATTGCTTGAGAGATGACTGATTTATGAGTCTATAGTGAAGCCACTTAGAAATTATTCTTAGTCCATTGGAACTTAAGCAAAAGTGGTTTTGATTGGCAAACGGGTCTTTGTTGAATTGTTTTTAAGAATCTTTGGGCAAATATACTGAGTTCTAAATAAAAGGCATGGGGTGGTTCCTTAGGGCCCATAGATGATTAGTACGTTTTAAGAGGGGGAAGCTGCTCTTTGTTTTTTGGGTTGTGGTGTTGGCTTCACTTTCTTCCATCTGTGGTTTATCATCTAAATTTCTTTTTCTGTTGTAGGACCACCTGGCCCAGCAGGTAAGAGCCCATGGATTTTCCAAGTTCATGGGAAGGATATGGGTGGCTGGCCCCCCAGGATCACTCAGAAGGGACTGAGGCAGGGAAGGAAGAAGAGTCTGAAGGCAGCCTTGACTATCACTGTGTCCCCCTCCTCTCTGCCCCAATCACCAGCTCTCCTGTTCCCTCCCACTTGAGAACTTGCTGTCACCATTCCCCACCTGTCACTGCTTCAGGCGGGGGCAGGGAAGGTAGAGAAGGAAAGGAAGAAGCAGGAGAAGATCTGGAAGAGGCGTCAATGCCTGGCCAGTTTCACTGGCTAAAGGAAGTCATGTTAACTTCTGTTAAGATTTTTTTGAATGTTCCCATTTCCCGTGTTTTGATGCAGGACCTCCAGGAATTGGTGGGTTACCAGGACACAATGGATCAGATGGACAGCCTGGTCCCCAGGGCCCAAAAGGCGAAAAAGGAGCAAATGGAAAAAGAGGAAAAATGGGTATTTTGTCACTCTTCTAATTCATTTCCTTGTTTTTTGTCTCCATTATTGCATTTTGGATGAACCAAAGCTGGCACAGTGGGGGAAAAGTGCTGCATCTCTGAATGCAAGGCTGGTTAATGCTTGCCTGGAAGCTGCTGTGTTCTGGGGCAGCAAGGGCCTTCTCTTTGGTCCAACCCTGATAAGATTTATATCCAGTCTGCCCGAGAGAAGCAGTATACCTGAGAGCTGATGTCCACTCCTCTGCTTGCTCTGATGCAGACAGACAGATGGAAGGGGCAAGAGTGAGCAGTCCTGGGGAGGGGCACTACACGGGCTGTGAAGGCTGTCTGTGCTGGTACCCCAAGTTCTCTCAAGGGTCGTTCCTGCCCGACCCTCTCACTGCCTCCTCCTGCCCAGCAGATTTTTGTGTTTGACTGAAAATCAGTTGACTGATACTGACCTCTAGGTTTTCCTGGCTGGAGGAATCACTAGAATGATTTGAGTAGAAAGGCAGCATCCAGGCTGACACTCAGGTTGTGTGGTCCCAGCTGTCAGGGTCTCCTGTCCAGGGGTCACAGGACTATTAAGAAGATGTGGCTGGCATCTCTGAGAGACCTCCTGTGCCCTGCTGTGAGTGGTGGCATTGCCACCACCCAAGCAAAGACCTGGAAACACCAAGGTGTCAGATGTGTCAGGGAGCAGTGACCAGCAGGGGCTCAGGTAAGGCCTGGCAGGGTCTGGGGGCTGGAGGCTGGGGCAGGGTGAGTTCTAAGGGGCTCTGAGCACCAGTCCTGGGAAGTCCATGGGGAAGGCCGGGGCAGAGTCACCTGAAGAGAGCTGGCACATGGCACGGTGGAGGCTTGAGGGCAGGGGTTAGAGACTCCTCAGGACGCTTCAAGGAAGGCGTGGTTCTTAGCCACAGCTGAGGGTGGAGGCTCCACTAACCCTCTTATCTATTTTCAATCTCTTGGTTACACTGCCCCAACTCACCTGGACAGGCCCCAGGCTAGAAGAACCACTAGAACAACTCTTCCAGACAACACAGGAACCCCTTCCAGCATTTCTGCTCTTAAACAATTTGAGTGAGAGCCAGTGGAAAGGGAGAAAATTGTTGAGGGGCTCTGCCACTTGCCAAAAGCCTGCATACCTGTGTTCCCAGGGGCAGCCTCTGTGAAAATGGGCCCACGCAGCCCATGTCAACTCTGTCCCCAGAAGTCCAGCAGTTATAGCCAGAACTACAGAGCAGAATGGACCCTTACATGTCAGATAATAACTATAATTATAAATGAATATCAGCATCAGTTAATGATGACCGTCAGTGTTCAGGCACTTGGTTTATCCCAGAAAGACCCCAGAAATGTGATCCAGTCCTGAGGATTCAGTAATGAGTATTATGAGAGCCAACAGTGAGGGGGAGGGACCACCATGCAGCACTGGATGTGGGTCAGGTGAGAAAGGGGTAACTCCAAGAAGGTCTGAGACAGATCTCTAGCTTTGAAGAGATATGCTTAGCATGCAGCCCACAACCCAGTGAGGGCAGAAAAGAAAAAGTCTATTTATTTCTGTAAGACATATTTATGTGGCAGGTATTATTCTAGATGCTGGAGATCCAGAAACGAAAAAGCTGACAAAATCTCTGCTCTCATGAGGCTGACATCCTAGTCTGGGCAGATGGACAATCAACAAGATAAATAAGTAGAATATATTGTCTGTTACGCGGTGCCAAGTGCTAAACAGAAAAATAGAGCAAGGGGAAGGGATAGGAAGTGTGTAGGGTGGGGCGTGACTGTAGCCTGGGAGGCCAGGTGAGCCCCCTGAGAAGGGACCTTTGAGCAGACACCTGGAGGTGAGGAGAGCGCAAGTGGAGGACTGTCTGGGGGAGAGGGTTCCAGTGGAGCCTGTAAGTCCAGTGTGCCTGCAGACGCTGAGGAGTGGCAGGGAAGCCAGCGTAGCCGGACAGAAAGGATGAGAGGTGAGCATGGTCAAGTTGAAACCAGAGAGGTAACAAGACCAAATCAGGTTAGCCCTGAGCATTTTAAGAACTGGGGTTTGTACTCAGACACCTGCCCTGCACACCTCCCTGGCAGCCACACAAAGGAGCCTGCAGGAGGGAAAGGAGGAGGTTTTGAAAAGGCTACCTCTATGAATAGGTTGTTGGAAGCAGACTCTAGCCTGGACCAGACTCTAGCCTGGACCATCCAACACCAGAGCAAGGGCTGTGCTATCCCCGTCACCCTGCCAAAGCCGCACAGCTATGCTTTCCCTCCCCTGATCCCTTCCTGAGCCCAGGATGGATTCCCATCCCACCCAGCAATCAACAGAATTGCAGGGAGTGGGAGGCAGGACGAGAGCTGGCAGGCCCACGGAGGGGAATTGGCTTTATTCCAGGAGCCATGAGAAGCCACGAAGGGGTTTCAGGTAGGAGAGTGACATGATCAGATCTGCCTTTCTGTAATACCCCCGCTGCTGCTGGTGGGGGACACACTGGAGCGAGCGCACAGGCGCTGCTATTAGGGAAACAGGGCAGAAGCTACTCAGTGTGAGGGCGGAAGGGATGCGGGTGGGGTGTGCAAAGGCCAATGAGCTGAGTGACATTTGGGGGTGAAATCAACAGGACTTGGGGGAAGGTAGATATGAGAAGGAAGGGGAAGGGGTCACCAAGACTGACTGTGAGATTTTCATCCTGCCTGACTGCTCTTCCCTGAGGTGAGGGGCCCCAGACCGACTCAGGTCCAGGGAGACAGTCATGGCTCAGCATGGGATGTGCTGAGTTTGAAATGCCTTGAAACATCCAGGAGGAGGGGGGCCTTGAAGATGCAGGTCTGCAGTTGGAGAAGTCCCTGGGGCTAGAGGTATACATTAGGGTGTCACCCAAGGCAATGGGCTTGTGGACCAGGGTGCAGTACCTTAGGGAGGGAGCTACCAGCAGAGGAGAGCCTGGGTCAAGCCCTGAGAAGTAACAGCGTCTAGTGACCAAGTAGAAGGGGAGGAGCCAGCAAAGGAGGCCAAGGACAGACTGAGCAGCAGGAAGAACAGCAGGAGAGGATGGGAACATTCGTCAGCAAATACTTATTGAGAGGGTTCCAAGTACTAGTGGGGAAACAAAATAGACGTAGCCCCTATTGTGGAACTTTCCATCTTTGGTGGGGAGGCAGACATAAATAGTCAACACAAATACATCTGTAATCACAATGTGAGGTGCACATTTGAAGGAAAGAACAGTGTGTTATAAGCTACAGTGCAGAGAGGGCGGGTCGGGAGGTAACGTCTGAGGTCAGACATGAGGGATGAGAGCGAGGCAGAGGGTGGCCCAGGTGGAGGGCACACACCTGCCAAGGCCCTGCTGGGGCAGCTGGGGGAGGGGGCGTGCAGCAAGGTGAGATGGGAGGCGGGGGCCAGGCCCTTCCAGAGCCTTCAGGTTAGTGGTCTGGGGTCTCTCTGTCAGCCACAGGGACTCATGCAGGATGTGACCTGCTGGGCCAGGATCATGGCTGTGGAGAACGAAGGGCCGTCATTTCAGCTGAGAGTTCCAGGATCGTTAGTGGTTTGCCAGGCAAGGGGTGGGAGAGGGGAGGAGTGGGCGTGCATTCCAGAAAGAGGGAACAACAAGTGCTATTACCAAAATCAGGAAAAAGAGACTGTATTCCACAGAGATAGGACTGGGTTAGGCTGGACCGTGCCCTCTACAGTGATCCTCTGGACAATAGTAAATAGCTGACATTTACTGTCAGGCACACTACCTAGTCCTCTCTACACTCACCTCATTTAGTCTTCACAACAACCCCAAGGAGATGGGTATGTTTACCAGCCGTATTTTTCCCAGATGAAGAAACCTTATCTTTCTGTTTTCCAAACAGGTCAGGCCCACCCTTGTCCCAGGGCCTTTGCACTGCTGTGGCCCGGCCCTTCCTGAGGCCCGTCCTTCCCACAGAGCAGATCTCAGCTTATAAATCACCTCCTCTTCAAGATCGTCCCTGACCTCTGTGGCCCCTGCCTCACCAACTCAGTCACATTCCCTGCTCTTTTCCAATAACATATCCCTCCCTGAAATTCTCTCCCAGTGTTGCCCGTTGATATGCTGATGGTCTGACTCCCTAGGGAGAACGTGAGGTCCGTGAGAACCAGGCCATGTCACTCTCGCTTAGACTCAACCTCCAGAGCCTGGAACAGCCAGCGAAAGAGGGCAATCAAGTCATGGTTGAACTAATGGACGTAACTTGTCCAGTGTCCAAAAGCTAATAAGTGGAGGAGGTGGGATTTGAACCCAGGCCTCTCTGACTCCTGGACCCCTGCTCTTAAACACGACTGCACTAAACGTCTAGGCTCGAGGGGGTCGGGCCCAAGCTGTGAGAGCGGCGTTAGCCCGAGCCGAGGGAAGGAAGGCTGGGCCTTGGGAGCTAGTGCTGTTAATTGTTGAAGGATGATGCTGAGTCTGACCCTGAGTCTTCCCAGGAGGGTGGGAGAGCGCCAGCCCTTCAGAGAGGCCCGCAGGACGTGTGCAGGAACGCACAGTTCAATGAGTACTAACCTGTCAGGCAGAAAGAATGGTCCCTGCTCTCCTGGCAGAGGGGAGCCAGGAAAGGAGTTCCGGGAGCACCTGCCTCGAACCCCGACTGGCTCTGAGGCCTTGGGCAGGTCAGTCCCTCATCGGGCCTTGGTCTCCTCTGTATGCTAAGGAGGTTGTCTTCCAACAACTCTAGCATGGCTTCTGGTTTTTAAACAGCCTGCTCTAGTGTTTGCCTATGAAGGAGAGACTATTGGCATAGCTCTCAGCCAACCCCAGCTGAGGCTCAGTAAATAATTAATGAGTGAAAAATGAAGGAATGCATGAATGAGAAGAATAAAACATAATTTCTGTCCATAAGAGCTTACAGTCCTGTTGAAAGAGAAGATATAGTGTATATACAGGATGAATTCAATAACTGGTTATTCTGATATGAAGATGCTTTATACTACACACCAGAGAATACTGCCGGAAGAAAAATCTGAACTTTGCTGTGCAGGTAATGAACAAATAG